GCAGGAGAATGAATATTGCTCAGTTAGCTCCGTCATCACCAAGGCTGCCTCCAGCACGTCTGCAGCCCTGCTCCTCCTCACTGGTCCTGACAGGTGAGGCAGGGGTGGTCTCCAGGCAGGCATGGCGACAGCAGGTACCCAGCACATGCAGAGTCCGCTGTGCTGTCCCAGCTGCTTCATGCAGGCTGAGGGTGGCTGGGTCCACACAGTGAGAGGCCTGGGCACCCAGCCTGATGGCACAAGGTGCCCTGTCCCCCTGTGGCCTGGACGTGGTGTGGAGAGGAGTTTATAGTGGAAGAAGGATGGAATTGTGTTTCCAAGGCCCGCCCTCCATGTGGGCAGGTGGGATGAGGCTGTGCTAGTCGTCTGCTGCTGTGTAGTCAGCGACCTCTCTTGGAGACCCCTGCAGTCAGGTTCCAGTCCCCACTGCTCAGTCTATGAAGCAGGCCCAAGGGAAAAAAGACTTCAGAGAGAGAACTAAGAGAAAGCGGGGGCCAGGACGACCAATGCTGGTGCAACCAAGAAAGGCCCTGGCCAGTCCCAGGCAGTGATTTTTATTGGCAATCATTTGGGGTAAAGGCAAGTTGTGCGCACTTTCTATGGAAATTAATAATTGCAAATTCCTTTTTTTTTTGGGTACTGGGCCTCAAACTTGGGACCTTGTGCTTGCGAGGCAGGTGGCAGAACCACTGAGCTAAATCCCTGGCCCTGGAAATTAATATAAACAAGGCTCACAAAGGACAAGACCAAGCATTCTTGAATTAGGAACAGAATAGACAAAGTACGTGGTGGCAGTTAGAACACTGTCCTTCTATTCTGAAGGTTTTAGTTGTAGGAACGGACTCTGGGTGCAAGTTACTCTGACCTCGGCACGTAGGCTTTGGCGGGACTCACTTCTATAAACAAGCCAGTTGTGTTGACTCTTCACAGTGAGTTTTGGGCATAATCAGTATTACAGTCCTCTGCAACCTCAAAACGCAGTGGCCCACAAGAATATTAGTCATCTTCGTTTCTGTGAGTCAGGGGTCTGGTGTAGCCCAGTGGAGTCCTCCGGCTTTGGTTCTCGGAGCTGCACACAGGTTTTGGAGGGTCTACTTTGAAACTCAGTCTCGTGGCTGTGGGCTTCTCTACCTTGCCAGGTGGCCCTCCACATGACAGCTTCATCAGAGTGAGCAAAGTGAATGTGGCAAGATGGCATTGCAGCCCTGGGTAGCCCAGTGTTGGGAGGACAGTGAGCCAGTGGCCAGCCCCCCATTGAGGAGAGGGGCCTGTGGGCTGCTGGGGTCGGCCTCCCAGAGAGCTTCCACATTCCCAGTCACATCCTTTGGAGGACCTTGAGGGAAGGGGACAGTGGCCCTGGACTCTAGGGTAGGGGGCTTCTCTGCTGTCCAGCCTGGAGCCAGGGAAGGCTGGCTTTGCTCAGGCTGCCCACCCCTTCTGCCAGGGCCTCACCCCAGGACTCCATTATACCTATGTGCCCATTTGGCTTCAGGAACACAAGCAAAAATGTAACATTCAGATCCCAAGCAGGGGTTAAGGAGTAGGTAGGGCTATGTCTAGAAGCAGTGCAGGCACCCCAAACAGTACAGAACCCCTGCTGCTGGATAAGCTAACCAACATTAGGAGAGGGACAGTGACCGGCATGGAACAAGCAGCAAGTTAGAGCAAGTCCAGACAGGAGGTAACAGAGTGCAGAAAAGAATTACAAGTAAAAGTAAAAAGTCATTTTAGAAATGAAAGGCAAACTAGAGGGAATCGGAGAGCAAAACAAACAATATAGACAATCCCTTATGTAAAAGAGGGGCATTTAAAAAATACGGAAAAAGGGCTGGGGATTTAGCTCAGTGGTTCCGGCGCGTGCCTTGCAAGCACAAGGTCCTGAGTTCGATCCTTGGTTAAAAAAAAAAAATTTCAGGGGCTGCGGATTTAGGTCAGTGGTTCTGCTGCCTGCCTTGCAAGGGGAAGGTCCTGAGTTTGAGCCCCGGTTACCCCTCCCCCCAAAAAAGAAAAAATACGGAAAAAGAAAAGCCTTACAGAGTAGAAAGTTAGCCAGCTGTCTGCAGCTGCATATGACATGAGCACAGGCAGTTTTAAGGAAATGACCAAATGCTTATGAAACGAATGTGTGCGCTCAGTCACAGAACCACTGTAGTTGCGTATGGCGGCAGGAGCTGAGGACACTGGGGTAGAGCTGAATTTTACGCTACTGCAGCATTTACAATTGCTTTAGAAACTGGAATGTGTGGTGCAAATTACCAAAATGCTTATGTCTGGATGCTCAAAACCAGCACAGGTAGACAGGCACACTGTATTAGCGAGGAACTCAGAGATGTCCATCCATTCCGCCCAAACAGTGGCATGCAGGTACAGTGCACTAGAATTGCTATCGAAATACCAGGAAGTTTTTTTTTTTCTTGTAAAGCTACAGACAGGCTTTAAATTCTAAAATTTGTATGGAAAAGGAAAAGAATGAGAATAGCTAATATAAGGTTAAAAAAGAGGAATAAAAAAGTGGTTTAAGATGGTTTAAGCATGTCCCCTCATGGGTATGCCGTTGCAGGCTTGGTCCCGTTGGGGCTTGGTAGTACCTGGTGGGAGGTCCTATGTCATTTGGGGATGTTGAAGAGTGTGGGGCCCTGGATTCTCCAGCTCCTGTTCAGGAGGTGACTTCTCCCCCCATGCACAACCTCATTCCTGCCATAGTGGGAGGGGGTGGGCAGAGCTGAGTTCTCCAGAGCGGACTGCACTGTGTGCATTGCAGCCTCCAAATAAACCTTGTTACAAGGCTAGCCTGGTGTAGGTACTTGGTTATGGCTGTGAAAAACACTAACACATTTAAGGCTTACTAAGAGCTGCCATCATCAAGACTAGTGTTGGTGGGGACAGAAACTGATCAACAGAACCCAAAGTGGATCCACCCAAGCCTAGCCAGCTGAATTTTTGCAAAGGTACAAATTCAGTTGGGGGGAGAATAGTATTTTCAGCAAATGGTGCCAGAATGATTGGGCACAAAAGGCAGAAATAGGAGCCTCAATCTAAGTTTTCCACCCTCTGGAAAAATGGACCAGGCTTACATGGAAAGGATAAGGCTTAAAGTTTGCAGGAAATCTTTGGGACCTAGGGCTGGGCAGAGTTCTTCACCTGGACTCCAAGAGCCCAACACATAAAAGGAAAAATCAATTAGGTTTTCTTCTAAATTAAAAACTTGCTAAAAAAAACCTCGCTGTATCAAAGAGCAAAAGACAAATCATGGATGTCGAAGAAACTTGCAAACCATGTCTCCGCCAGGAGACTCGTGTCTGGAAGAATGGGAAGAACTCAAACTCCGCAGTGAGGAAATGAGCCGACTGCATAGAGACATTTTACCCAAGAGGAAGTGCAGGTGGCACTGAATTCCCAGGAACCCTTGGCCAGGGCTGCGGTGGAGGTGGTTCTGACTTTGACTGCTGGAGATGCAGCTCCCTTTGGGTGGTCCAGTGCTTCCTCCTGATGAGACCCAGAGTGGGGATGTGACCTCAGCCAGGTGCCACGTCTAGGGATGGGCCACCGTGGTAGAGTGTGTGGCTAGCACGTGCAAGGCCTTGGGTCCAATCCAGCATCGCACACACAGCAGTCAGTAAATGTTGAGCTGGGACCGGTGGTGCTTACCTGTAATTCCAGCACTTAGGAGGCTGAGGCAGGAGAACTGTCATGAGTTTAAGGCCAGCCTGGGGTACATACTGAGTTCAAAGCTATCCTGAACACGTAGTGAGACCCTGTCTTAAACAGGCTGCTGTTTTGGGGGGTGCTAATGGATCCCCGAGTGGGACCACTGTAGAAATGTCTTTGGGGAGGCTAGATGAGCACCCATATTGGCTTTACCAGCATTTCCACTCATGAGCTTTGGCACCTGTTAGCGTTCTGTGGAGAAAGAACCAGCGAGATGTTGGCTGGAGTGATCGTCAAGGCTGCAGGGGCTAATGTGTGGGGTGTGCTGTGCCGTCTGCTGGCAGAATTCCCTCTTTCTGGGGTGGGGGGCTGGCCTTAAGTCCTTCAGTGAACTGGTGGGGGCTACCCACATTGTGCTTTAAGCAAAGTCTACTGATTTAAATGCTGATCTTATTTAAAACGGTGGCACTCAAGCACAAGGATCCGAGTTTGATCCCCGGTACCAAAAACAAAAACAAAAACAAAAAAAACTGTGGCAACATCCACGCTTATTTGACCAAATAGCTGGTACCATGGCCTAGCTAAGTGACATCTGGAAGGACACTAAACTGTGAAACTCTGACTTGAAACAAAAACTCAGACGCTGCCAAATTGGATAAAAAAACAAGACCCCGGCCGGCTGCATAAAACCCACTTTCAATATGAAGACACACACAGGTTCAGAGTAGAAGGTTCGGAAGAGATTGGCCATGCAGACTTCGATGAGGAAAGCTGGAGGCAGGACAGTGATGTCAGACAGGCTTCAGAGCAAGTGATGCTACTGCACAGAAGAAAATGATGTTCCTTAATGAGGTCATTTCTTAAGGATGAAGTAAGAATCCTAAGTGGGTATCCAGTTAATAACAGGTCTTAAAAATACATGATGTAAGCTGGGCATGGTCGCGTATGCCTGTGATCCCAGTACTTGGGCGTCTGAGGCAGGAGGATCGCTTGAGTTCGAGGCCAGCCTGGGCTACATAGTTCAAGGCCAGTCTGAACTATATATTGAGACCGTGTCTCAAAACAACAACAACAACAACAAACCATGATGTGAAAATTTGATACAAATAAAGCGGGAAAAAAAATCACAAGGTTTTTTTTTTTCCCCCAGTACTGGAATGAACCCACAAATGCTCTACCCCTGAGCTACACACCCAGTTCTTTTATTTTTATTGTGAGACAGTCTTACAAAGTTGCCCAGGTTGACCTTGTGTTACTTTTCTCTCGTTGCTGAGACAAAATACCCGACACCCAAAGTTAGAGGGGATTTATTTAGCTCACAGTTTATAGAGGTTCAGTCTGTAATCAGCTGGCTCCAAGGAAGGGATGGCAAACAGGCCTTAAAGAGGAGAAACAACATGGTGAGCACAAGGTAGCAAAGGTAACGAGAGCTTCACTGAGTCTTTCTGCCTTTTATCCCATCCAGACTACCGGGATTAGGGTGGTGCCCAACTACTTACTCATGTGTAGTGGTTTAGTAATCACACACCATTAATCCCAGCATCACATATTCCAGATTCAGCACCTCTGACCAAATGAGGGTTTGGGGGGACATCCAGACCCAAACCATAACAGACCTTGAACTTGCCATCCTCCTGCCTCAGCCTCCTGATTACAGGCATGCATCACCATGCCCAGTTTAAATCCACAATTATATTTGGAGATTTCAATACTCAGTCATTGATAAGTAGAGGCGGGAGAACACGATTTGAGGCCAGCCTGGGCTATATACCAAGTTCAAGGTCAGCCTGGACTACATATAAGACTGTTTCAAAAAGCCAAACAGAACAAAAAGGTCACTAAATACATAGAGGACTCTAGCCACACTCAACCACCTCCACCTAATTCCCACTCACAGGACACCACCCCTCAACAGTGTCAGCTCCCACTGAGAAGCGCACCTGCACCGTGCTCAGACCACGGCGGCCGTGAGGCAGGCTCAGCACGCTGACCTTGACTGAAACTGCACACAGCATGCTCTGACCACGACAGACTGAGGCTAGTCATTTAGCAGATACTCAAGGCACACAGCATCAGGTAAAAATACCGATCCATCAGATGTTATCAAAATCGAAAACATCTCTTCAAAAAACTGTCTTAAAGATGAAAAGCAGCTGTGGAAAGGAGTCTGGTGGTTCCTCAGAGTTCAACATGGAGGGCTCGGGGCCTAGTTCAGGGAAGGAGCCCTGCCTGTTGATCCTCAGTGCCATCACCCATGCAAACAAACAGGGTGACTGTGACCCAGTGGCTCTGCTGGGTGTATGCCTAAAAGTTAAAAACAGGAGTGCAAACAAAAATGTGCACTGGAATGTTCACAGCAGTAAAATACACTGTTAGCTTTCCATGGCTGACAGAATACCTGAGAAAAACTTTTGTTTTTGAGACGGAGTTTGGCTATGTAGCTCAGACTGGCTTTGAACTTACCATCCTCCTGCCTCAGCCTCTGGAGTGCTGGGATTACAGATGGGGACCACCATGCCTGGTTTAAGAAAAAACATTTTAAAAGAAGAAGTTTTTTCGGCTCACGGTTTCAGAGGTTTCAGTCCATGAGCTGCTGGCTCCATTACTTTGGGCCTGAGGAGGCAGTGTTCATGGAGGGACACTCCATTGGGCCTAGGTGGAAGCTGTTCCCCTCCTGGTGGCCAGGATGCATACAGCAAGGATGGGGACACAGTGAGCCAGCCACCTCCTCCGAGCAGCCCCCAGCCCGTTGTAGTTTGCACCCCTCGCCAAGGTCCACGTGGCTGTGAACCCGCAATGGCTTTAACCTACCGTGATGACAGCGCCATGGTGATCAGTCACTTCCCTAAGGGGCCCTCTGAGCGCCGTGTGCTGGGGATAAAGTCTTCAACACGGGCCTTTGGGTCCCAGAGCCAAATGGTAACAGAATATGCTCCGTCCCCAGTAAACTAAGCCCCCGGGACCCACCCTCCCACTGTCTGGCTGATGGCTCCGGGGCCTTCTGTACCGCGCGGGACTTGTCCTTTTGAGCTCTGCTCACTCCGCTCCTCCTGCCCCGGGGCCGTCCTTGCTGTAGCTGAGCTCACGACAGGGTGTTTCCTTCTGACCTCCTCCCACCTCGTCTCCCATCCAGACGTCTCTCCAGCTAGTGGAGCCGATGGCAGAGACTAGGATTGGGCTGCCTGGAACCACCGTGCCTCAGTTTCCTCAGCTGTAAAGGGGACAGCACTGATGGGCTGCCCACCAGAGGAGGACTGACTGGGTCTCCCAGGAAGGGAGCCCGGTCTGGCCCGGGGCCCAGGACACAGCCCCAACTGGGATCCCGCGCCGGTGGCCCTCGGGTGTCCCCAGGCCAACTGGGCTCGGGTGGGACCAGTTCCCCGTCTGTCACGCGTATCTCATTCACACCGCCTTGCCAACCCGCCTTGCCAACGTCGCTGGAGGTCTCCAAGTGAGACTCGAGAGTGTAAGCGAGGAGCCCAAAGACAGCGGTCAAGGGCAGGGCGGGGAGGCCATTCTCGGGCTCCGGTACTCGGGCTACGCGGCCCCGCCCTCCGTCTCAGGTCTCCGCCACCCGCCCGCTGGGCCCGGGACTACGTCACTCCCAGCGCACTAGAACAGGGGGCGGGGCTCCGGCACGAGGCGGAGCCAGCGCAGGCTCACGCCGTGACAGCGCGGTCTCCGGGCGGGTGGTGGGCGGGGCAGGACGGGAGTCCCCGCCCCCCGCCCTCGGCGTCGGCCCGCCCATCGAGCGCTGAGGGGCGGTGGCAGTGGCGCGCGGGCGGGCGGCTGACGGGCTCGCGGCGGCGGCGGCGCGGCGACCAATGAGGACAGCCGGAGGGGGCGGGGCGGCGGCCTCGGTTTTGTTCCGCCGCGGCTGAGGCGCGTCGCGTCGTCCCTATGCGAGGAGCGCGGCCTGCGCTGCCCGCTTCCTCGCTTACCCGCTTACCCGGTCTCGGCCCCACGGCGCCGCGCAGGTACCGAGCCGGGTCGGCCGGGGTGCGCGCGCCCGGTCGCGGTCTGTGGAGTGCGGCCGCGGGGCTGCGCGCGAACTTGGCCCGCTCGTGCCGCGGACGCCGCGTCCCCACGCTGTCAGAACCCCGCGCCGGCCGTTCCTCGCCGTGGACACGGGACCGCCCGGGTGCAGGGTTCGGACTCTGCGCACTCCAGACCCTGTCCGACCGGGCCAGGCCCCCGCACACCTCGAGACCCCCGCGCGTCCTGGGACCCCTGTGCACCTTGGGGACCCCCCCACCCCGTGCACCTCGGGAGCCTTGCCCGACCTGGAATCCCCCGCGCACCCTGGGACCCCCTTGTGCATTCCGGGACCCCTGCGCGCCCCGAATACCCAGCACCCTAAGGCTCCCTGCGTGCCCCGCGCCCCCCTCTGGCCTGCCCAGGCGCCCCTTGAGCGCCAGCACCGCGGGCGCCCTCCGACCTGTCCAGGTTCGCCTGAGCGCTGTGAGGGGCTTGCACAATGCCACTTGTTGAGTCAACTTTGCGTGTCGCCTTTGTGACCTGTTGTCGCCCTACTGGGCCGGTGGGCCACAGCCCTTTCTGGGGCTCACGTGTTTGTCATTTTGTAGCCTAGAGAAGCAGGAAGTTTGACGAAATTTCACGGCACAATAGGGGAGGCCCAAGGGTGGACCCAGACCACGTGGGACCCTCCGCACGACCTGTGGAAGGCGACGTGGGAGTGGATTCTGAACCTACTTTCTTGCTTAGACTGGACGGGTGTAAGTCGCTTTAAAACCGTCCATGTGAGTGGAGAAAGGAGTGTTAGGTGTGTAGCAGTTTACTGTTCCTGATTGGCTAATTCCTTATTCTAGATTGGGATTATGATCTAAGTACAGTCCTATATCTGAGGTTTTAACACTCTATGTGCGTTAAATTGACTTTTTTGGATGTTTGTATTTCATCACGGAGTGAATCAACTTTAATGGACACTTCTATTAAGTTACCTTTCTTGTTTGTTTTTGTTCTTTTTTTGCGGTGCTGGGGAATGAACCCAGGGCTTGTCCAGTGCCGGTAAGTGCTCCTCTGCTGAGCTGCACCCCAGCCCCTTTCTTTTTCAAAGCTCGAACCTGATCCATTACTTATTTGGGTCTGTGATAATCTCTGAGCTCCAAGAACTTACAGAGATGAATTAGTTGGGCATGCTTCAGTTTCATATTGTGTAAGAAATTTAAGTGGTGCATACTGGTGCCACTTAAGACCCAGTCGGCTGTCACCGACTGTCACTTGTGTCCCTGATGAAAGTGAGTCCATGAAGGAGGAAAGTGTGGCTTCTTGCTCTGATGGTAGAAGGCTGGGAAATTTGTTTTTGAAACTCCAAATACTGTTCCAAAGTGGAAATTGAAATTGGTTGGAAACAGTGGCTTTTCTTTGAATTGAGCTAGCTGGTGCAGGAGTTCCTGCAGACAGTTGTTCCCGAGTTCATTTGCCATTGTCACCCTTGAGTCCCCTCTGTGTTTTGGGTATTGGTCATCGTGATACCTTTCTGGGTCTTGGTGGACGATTCCCCTGCTGGCCCTGGACTTAGAGCCCGGTTCTGGAGTTCGTTCTGCTGGTGAGCTCTGTGATGCCACTTAGAGGGTTGCACTGCCTTGCTTGGCAAGTGACGTGGTAACAATTCTGCCCCTGTGGATGGCTCCTTAGTTTTTTTTTAACTGAGGTTGGATTTGGAGGGCACAGACAGCACAGAGAAAGTGCTGAAGCCTTCACTCTTCAAGTGGATGCATTGGGACCTTTCTGCTTAGAGACGTTTGCTTGTGTGGAGTTCTGTGCGCAGGGAACAGGAGTGCGAGGAGGCGTGGACTGAGAATATGTTCTACAGGTAGAGAGGAAAACCAAGAAGACCCTTAGGTATTTTTCACTGATGCATTGGAAACATTGGAAACATGTTTTAAAAAAAAGCAAATTGGGGCTGGGCATGTAGCTTGGGGCGCTGTGCAGGCCTCACAAGCGCAAGGTCCTGAGTTTGATATCCAGGACTGGAGAAAACAAAAAACGGCAAATTAGAGTTGTTTTTTATATAAACCCTTTCAGCATTGTCTGCAATGATAGTTCTCAAAGGAAAAGTAGCTTTCTCAGTCTTTTAAGCATTTAATGTAAGTAATCATAATTTAAACATGTACCAGAGACTTGGGTACTTTCACATGTGTTACTGCATTTGATTCCTTGAGGCCTCATGAAGTGTGGGTGGTTCTCCTTATTTTCAGTTTCCAGGAAGCTCAGGGCCGGGGGGAGAGAGAGGTGAGTCCATCTCGTGTGTAGGACTGCCAGAGTCTGGGCTGCAGCTTCCACCCAGCTCTCCGGGCGAGGTTGGGCAGGGCTGTGTGTTTTCTCCCATGTGGAAATGTGTCCGTGTTCGTTGGTAGACAGGTGACAACAGTCATTTCTATTTTAAGATTTGAGTTTTTTTCTCCTTTGTTGGGTTGGAAAGATAACACTTCAAGCATGGTTTCTATATACTTAAAAGAAATAGAGTTAATTTTTTAGAGCAATTTTAGGTCCTCAGCATAGTTGAGCAGGATATGGAGTCCTATCTACCCCTTACTCCTGCACAGGCTCCCCTATTTTTCCAACACAGTGGCCTGTGTGGTATAGTTGAGAATCTCTGTTAACACATCAGCATCACCAGAGTACATAGCTGACATTAGAGTTCACTCTTGGTGTTTTGTATTTTATGGTTTTTGACAAGTGCGTAATGACATGTACCTATCGCTATTTTTTTCTACCATTATATGTATTATCAGAATAGTTCACTCTCCTAAAAGTGCTCTGTGCTCCATCCCTCCTTCCCCCAACGCTGGCAACCTCTGGCCTTACTGTCTCCATGGTTCTCCTTTTCCAGAACATCATAGTTAAAATCATGTGCGTAATCTTTTCTTTTCTTTTTTTGGTACTGGGGATCGAACTCGGGTACTTGTGCTTGCGAGGCAGGCGGCAGAACCACTGAGCTAAATCCCTGGCCCATGTGTGTAATCTTTTCAAATTAGCTTCTTTCACTGAGTAAGGGGCATTTTATTCCATGTCTCTTCCTAGTATTTCAGCTCATCTCTTTGAGGCACTGAATAACATCTCATTATCTTGACGGACCACGTTCGCCCATTCATGTGATAAGGACGTTTTGGTAGCTGCCAGGTTTGGGCAGTTAGGAGTGAGGCTGCTGTATGTATCTGTGTGTAGCTTTTTGTGTGGACAGAAGTTTTTTAGTTCCTTTGGTTAGTGCCAAGGAGCACAATTGCTGGGTCTTGTGGTGAGAGGAAGTTTCCTTTTGTCAGAATCTGCCGAGTTATCTGACAGAGTGGCTGCACCATTTCTCCTTCCCACCAGCAGTGAATTTGAGTTCCTGTTGTTCGGTGTCTTCCTTGGTATGTGGTGTCAGTGTGCTGGGTGGTGGCCCTTCTAACAGTGTGTGGTGAAGCCTCAGTGTTTCAGTTGTATTTTCCTGGTGAGTGTGATGTGTGGAGTATCTTTCCATACTAGGCTTTTTTGCCAACTGCTGATCTTCGGGCCTTTTTTTTTGTACTGGGGATTAAACTCGGAGCCTTTGTAGTAAGCTATTATCCCCAGACCTTTTATTTTTATTTATTTATTTTGTTTTGAAATAGGATCTTTTTTTTTTTTTTTTTTGGTACCAGGGATTGAACTCGGGTCCCTGCACTTGCGAGGCAGGCGGCGGAACCACTGAGCTAAATCCCTGGCCCAAATATATATATATATATTTTTTTGGTATGGGGATTGAACTTGGGTCCTTGAGCTTGCACAGCAGGCGGCCAAACCACTGAGCTAAATCCTCTTGAAATAGGATCTTGCTAAGTTGCCCAGCCTGGATTCAAACTTGTGATCCTCCTGCCTCACAGAGTGTTCCATTTTTCAGTGTTTTTTTTTTTTCTTACTGAGTTCTAAAAGTTCTTTGTATATTTTGGATAACAGTCCTTTATCAGATAAATCTTTTGCAAATATTTTCTCTTAGTCTATGGCTTGTCTTTTATTCTTTTTTTTTCCCCTTAAATTCTTTTATTGGTACGTTTTAGGTATGCAATACGTTTACATTTATCATTGGGTGCTTGTACCTGTACATGATGTATCTTGGTTCTTATTTTTTCTCCCCATTTCCTGTGCGCCCTTCACCCCCTCCACCCTTTCCTATTTACAAAGACTTTGTTTCCATTTGTTTTCTTTTCTCATAATTTTTCCTTTCCCTTCTTTCCTTTCATCTTCCCCTCCCACCACCCCTACCCCTTTGGACCTTTTATTCCTATTTCAAATTATCCATTATTCATTTTAATCATTTTAATTCTTATTTACACTTGCAGTTTCTTACACTAGAGAAACTATTCGGTATTTACACGTGTGTCCTATTTATTTCACTTAAGAGTATGGCCTCAGTGTGCATCTATTTAGCTATAAATGTCTCTAGTTTCTCATTCTTTATGGCT